AATCCAGGCTACGGGCCTGACTGTCAAGATTGTACTTCTGGAAGACAATCACAAAGGATTAGCTGTGATGATGTGTCTGTTCCACCTGGCCAAAGGAATGATAGCTTGGAATAAGATACTTATTTTCAGATGTAATACATCTACAAATAAATAGGGTGGTACTTTCATCAGGATCTTTCTGAGACTTTTGAAAAATCTAAACAAGATTGCCTTTAAGTTGATGTGTTAAGGCCAATCCAATGTTAAATTTGAATGAGGCAAAAAGTGATGTGTAAATATTTATAAGTGTCTTTTTTTAGTTTGCAATCCCAAACTCTTGTTGCCATTGATATAAACCAAAGGCCTAAGAGAGATTGTTATCCATGATCGACTCTTGGTTGTATGAATGAACCAAATTTATCTCTTTTTCTAAAAGAAAAGTGGTGTAGAAAGTGGTGTACAAATCTTTATAAGTGTCTTTATCTGGATTGTTTTAAATTACTAGGGCCATAATATAGTATTTAAAAAACTCATCCAGGAACAAGGGAGTCAAGAATTAACTTTCACCCTGTTGCTCCATAATGTGGCTGACATCCCAGGCAGAGAGAAAAAGTGACACTCAGCATCACATGACACAGAAGTAAATAGTAGCATAAATAGCAAAGGGCAGCCTTTTAACAGTTTATTTGGGTTAAACTCTAGAACACAAAATATTGTGAGGGACTTATAACATCTGAATCTGATCAAACAAAAGCAATTACAGGTAAGTCATGATTAAGACACCTTGACTATTTCAAAATATTGACATAAAATACGAGATTTAAAGCAAATAAAATTAGCTTTAAATCGTTAAGTTCAAGGGTAGCTATAAACTGATCTTTCTGTTGTATTTTGCTTATAATGGAATTACTTCTCATTCCTTTTTTCCTAGGAATTCTCCAAAACTCAATTTTTTCTTAAAATTCAACTGTAGTGACAGATACATTATGTGTATGTCTCTTTAAATCACCTGTTGATTTCTGGCAACCTCGTGGCTTTTATAGTGTTCTCTTAGGTAAATACTCTTCATAGGTGCTTTTGCAGTTCTTTTTTATGAAATATAGCCTATAACTCTTGATATTTGTTATTGGTCTCTCATTTAAATTCTAGCCAGGGCTAATTTTCAGAGATCAGACAGGATCAAGTGCCTCTGAGATATTTAGGCATTGTAGATACAGCTTTCCTATGACTTCCTTTTTGGAGGTGAAAGAGGCGAGGGGATAAAAAGAATTGAATTATGCAAGAAGTACTAAGACTTCTAAAACATAATACTAAACCATGCAAATGTGAGTACATCAATAGGTAGCGCTCCGGTGGGAAGGTAACAGCGTGCCATGCACATGACCTTGGAGGTGTCTATGGACAACGCTGACTCTTTGGCTTAGAAATGGAGATGAGCACCAACCCCCAGAGTCGGACACGCCTGGACTTAATGTCAGGGGAAAACTTTTACCTTTTCCTACTAAGACTAAGGATGGATGGGAGGGAATTGTGACCTTTAATAGAAAAGAACCAAATTTAGGAGAAAATTTAGAAAACACCACAGGCCATCTTGAGGTTGGATTTAGAGTAAGGGCTGCTGTAGTGGAGGGTCCTTCTCAGCAAGAATTATGCTAAATCCGATTTTCCCCATTTGAAAAGGCTGAAAGCAGCAACAGATATTTGTTCACAATCTGGCCAGAAGGGATACATGTAAGGCTAGCACCAAAAATACATACATAAGATGAATACAGAAGTGTAAGATTCTATACACTTGACAGCTATTCAAACTTCCCACTCTGCCAGCTCGCTTCCCTGATTAGCCAGAAAGAGGGCTAGCTTTGATCTGCAATCCCATTGGGTGCTGTTTTGATGATGTTGCCATCTCTGGGTGGGGATTCCCTGGATGAGGGAAGATGATGGATGTTACACTCCAGCCAGAATTCACCTTGCACTCAAGACCTGCCAGAAATCCCAAAAGTGGTAATAAAACATTTTAATAAGAAAACTACGTATAAAAAGGAAAAGTCACCATAAGAAATAAGAAAGGCAAAATCCAATAGGTAATGGGAAAAATAGTCAACAAGTAATAAGCCAATCCAAACTGATAATATTGTTTTAATTGCCCTAATGTTGGCTGAGGAGGAAGTTTCCTGGGGCAAGTGACAGTGAGGTGCCCTGAGAGACAAAAGATCATTATTTGCTTCAATCAAGCCTTGGGTGCCAGACAAAGGCATTTGGTATGTATGTACACTTGGAGTTCCGGCTTCCATGGTCAGCTCAATGGAAGTGATAAGCTTGGTGATTACGGGCTGGTGGTTATCTGATCTGGCAAAGGAAGCTGCCTGATATCCAGCATGTGAACACAATGGATCTTTATTGCCACTTTTGTCTGGGAACTTGCCCATCCCAGATGTCTCAGAAAATTCCTGTTAGGTCAGCAAGGAGCGATAGCTACTGCTCCACTAGTGTGCACATGTTCAGATATGGATAGGCATATAAGTATAGACATATGAGAGAAAACGTGAAAAAATAGAGGGCATGGGATAAAAGTATATAAAAATGGACAAGCTGGTGTGGAAATGATACATTTATCAAAGAGGGAAAGATTGAGCATGCTGTGCATGAGATTTTCTGCTGCAGACTGTTCGTATTCCCAGGCAAACTATAAATCTTTTGGGGTGGGGGGTGCTGTGTTCGACAACACTATGGGCTAGTAGGATTTCTGAAGACAAACACAAAAGGATCTATGGTAAATTAAAAACTCTTTAATGTATAAATTCTTCTATTTTCTGGCTGAAAGAATTGCTGTGTTGAGTGTTAAGGATGAAAAGAACATTATATTATACTGATACGAGCTGTGCTGGTATGATTTATTTAAAAAAATGTGCTGGTACGGCTGTACCAGGAGCTCCGACTTTATTTTCTTTCTGTTATCTGTTTGCAGTCAAATAAAATCATTTATTTCGGTCATTGACCAGCACAGGAAATAGTCACATTTTCATACAAACTTGGTATGTTTGGTACATTAAAAATATAAATATAACTACCGAAGCACAATATGGGTGAGGGAGCAGAAGGGAAGGGGAAAAGAAGGGAAGGGGAAAGCTGTTTGCAGTCATAGGGCAGACCACCTGTCCATCATAATTAAGCTTTGGTTCTGCCCCTTGTTCAGGGCTCTGGGAGGGAAAGGAGCCATTTTTGGGCAGTCTCACATAAGAAAGCTAAACTATAGGATGTAGACCAGCTCGTCCCGTAGAAAAGCTTCTTTTCTCAAGAACATCCGAGGAAACAGAAACAGAAATTTCAGGGGAAAGGTCCCAAGGCTCTGGTTGAAAGCTCACAGCCTCTCAGCCTCACAGCAATCAGAGAGAAAACAGCCCTGAAGTTTTCAAAGAATTCTCGGAGGGAGGGCAGCATTACAGATCCACTGAACTCCAGCTGAAATATCTACAAGTAGGTCTACTCAATACCCAGACGCATTTGGAATCAGTAATAGGACCCACACCGATGAGGCATAGATAGTAAACAGCCTGGGAGAGGTTAAATAGGGTTTTTTTCTTACAGAGAAAGTACAGTTAATCAAAGTCAGGTACCAGTCCATTGAGGACTAGACTAAGAAAGCCTTGAAGTGTTGTTTGAACCATTGAAGATTTGTTGTTTGTTCTATAATAAAGACTTTGTTGTATCATTAAAGACTCTAAAGACCATCACTTCAGAAAAATCCCTGAGAATCTCTCTTTGAGGCCCACTGGGCTTAAAGTATATGTCCTATAGAAAAGACAGCTGTTACAGGCCCAGCGTGCGACAGAACATGAGCTATGTTCAATAAATATGACTTCCTACTATACTTTTAGGTAGAGAGGTCCCTTCTGCCATAATCCAAATAACAGGCCAGGTAGAAGGAATGTTCTCCCATCTTGGGGGAAGACAGGTCCACTTTTTTAAAAGTAAAAACTGGAACCTTCATATGAAATGTCCCCCATCCCACCCAACTGAAAGGAAAGGAAATGATCTTGTTGTTGCAGTCAAAACAGCAACCAGTGCTTAAATATCTTGTTTACTCCTGATAAATGGGAGATCTTTTGAGTTTGGCTAAGAAGGGTGCACTGGTACTTGTCTGCACTTGATTGGCTTTGTCCCATGTGGTAACTCCACTGTATGCGCAGAGGACCAATCAAGAGTTATTAGAAGACAGAGCGGTAACAAACAAAGGTCATGCCCATATCTGCCCTTTGCACAAAGAACTTTTTTCTACACTCATCACTTCAAGCACGTAGAGATTTTTCCTTTTACCCATAGAACAAGATTGAAATTAGAAATAGGAAGAAATATAGGCAGAGGGGAAAACACACAAGGAACTTTTCCGGAGGGACAAGGCAAAGCAAGAAGGGAGATCTCCAGAGAGGCAAACAAAAGCAGAGAGATCCCAGAAAAGAAGAAAGAATCCCTGCATTTCTTTAGAAAACTCAAAGTTTCCTTCTTCCAGAACCTGCTTCAATGTATTCCTGAAACAGTACTCTAACACACAAACTTTGTTAACAGAGCATCTATTGTATTTTGATGAGAAAGCAAACAGACTTTGTAGATAAGATCTCAAAGCGTCTTTGTAACTGTAACAATTATTACAGAGAAATAGCAAGGATGTACATTTACTTCACCAACATTTTCTGGAGGAAGTGCATTTCTACTGTGCCCTTTGCTCGATAGTCTGAAGGGGCCGAGATGTGAAACATTATAGACAGGCTAGATATTATGATATAAAGACTGAAAGCCAAGTGAGATATGTAGTGGGTTTCCTAAAAAAACCTGGCTCTCTCATTAGCTGACGTAACATCATTTCAGGCAACAGAGTTGGAATATCCTAAAGTACAGCAAATTCTTGGTTATTTGGTGTCTTGTTAATATAATTTTACTACCAGGATTGTGGAAAGTGCTTGCAAAATTTTCTCCCTATTATACCAAAAGAACCTGGCTGGCTTTGCATAACTTCTTGAGTTGGTGTGCTGGTACAGCTGTACCAGAAGCTCCCATTTTATTTGCCTTGTATTAAGTGTTTGCTTGCAGCCCAAGGCTTGGGATTCTGCAGAAGGGTGGCTTCCTGTTAAAGTTTGCAGTTATAGGGCAGGCCCCCTGTCCATCATTGTTAAGTTTGGTTCCGCCCCCTGTTCAGGACAATTGGGAAGGGAAGGGAGCCATTTTTTAGTTAGAATAAAGCAAAGAAAGTCAATGTATAGGATGTGTACAGACTTTCTCCTGTACAAAGGCTTCAACCCTTAAGACCTCCTGGGAGAGAACAGTCTTAAGAGCATCTAAAGATTCCAAAAGTTCCCAGGGAAACAGCCTTACAGCCCCGAGGAATTTCAGAGGGAATAACAGCTTTAAACATCAAGAACTCCAGCTAAGTGACTACAGGCCTACAGGTAGGTCCACTCGGTTTTGAGACGCAGTTCAGCCCGTAGTGGATTCACATGTTAGGTTTAGGATCACAATTAGCCTGAGAGAAGTTTGGAAAGGGATTTTCCTTTAGAGTAAAAGCAACAGTTAGAAGCCACCAGTTGCACAAAGCCTGGAAGCATTTGTTTAATCTTTTGAAGACAAAAGAAGCTTCTGTTAATTGTTCACCAATAAAAGACTTTGTTATAGTTTACAAGCCCTCTAGAGACTGTTTATGGCGAAAATCCTTACGAATTTCTCTTCGGGCCCCCTGGCTTCCCGCTGGGCTAAAGTTGCACGTCCTGTTTTAAAAGCAATTCGTTTCAAGCCCAGCGCGCGACAGAACAGTTGGGTACCTGGAGACATCTTTTGCTGCTCTTAAAATAAAATCACTTCCACTACCTCTAACTGTAATGCAGAAACAAAAGAAACTTGAAACGGTCGGATGGCAAAATGACAAAGGTCTAGTTCATAACGCAAGCAATAACAACCCCTGAACAGTGTGCCTTAAATCTCCACTTGCTTCCTTTCTGTTCTCTTACTGGTCTCTATATGAGAAAAGTCTTTACTTGCTTCACTTGACATGGTATGTAGCAAAAGTAGGTAACCTTAATACTTAGCAATTTTATTCTCTCTTGTTTCCAGGCAATATTCTTCATTAGGAATATTGTCAGTGTTGTCTGGTTCTCAAGCCATTTGTGAATGATAGGAGCTACAATGAAATAGATACTAACCAGGTTTGAATGTGGGGTTAACTCTTTCAAGCATCTTCCAAGTAGATCCAACAAAAATTCCATGAGGAGGGGAGGAATACTAGCTCTTCTCCCTCCAATGCTATCTCCATCCCTTTCTCTACTGGAAGATGAATGCTGTAAAGCAGTGTTCCTCAACTGTTCTAATGCTGTGACCCCCTTAATACATCCCTAAAACAACAACAACACAAAGGCCCTTATGTACATTTGTACTGCAAATTAACCATGTCAGTTTCAACTGATTAATGGCTCCACACATTCCTTGGCCTTATCTACTCTTCTCACAGAAAGTATTCTGATGGGGTTCCTGGGAACATCTCTGACTTCTGCAGCACACTTTAAGAAGTCAACTGTGGCACTACCCTGTTGTTTTCTAGGAAGAACTATTACTGAGCAATGTACTTGCAAGCTTTTTGCATTGTTTTGCTGAGCATAATCATGGTAAAGACAACTGATCCTGACCAGAGCAGATGTGAAGATAAAATGAATACTTGCATTATCCGTGATGGAATCCCTGGTGCCAATGGATTACCAGGCAGAGATGGGTTCCCAGGGCCTAAAGGTGAAAAAGGAGAACAAGGTACTGTCCTACTATTAATACACTAGTAATACACTGGGTTGATGTTGTTGACTGTGATTATAGGAGTCATCACATATAGACTCTTATATGCATATCACTGCAAAGTTCTATATGCATATCAGTGTTTGCCTGCCAACCCCCGAAATAATGAGACACACACCAGTATTTGGGTTTAAAATATGGGCAACTTTTATTCATTGTTGCCTGTTTAACTTTGACTGGATCTCAATCTATGGATCTTGAACTTGGTGGCAAAGCCGAGATAGCCGCCCTGTCCAGCCTACCCCCTGGCTAGTTAGGGCAAAACACCCGGGTCCCCTGGACACCCAATCTAGGCAACCTCTGAAGGAAATGTGTCAGAGAAGTCTCTCTCAGTGTATCTGAGACCATATTTTCTCTATTTCTAGGCCATTATAATTCCCCTCACCTCATCAACTTGAATCTTAGGTGAGTGTTTTAGTTAATGGCCTTCACCCCTGAAGGGGGTGCCTTGGGCATATACCAAATTTTAGTTTTTCCTAACTGCTTATCGTGACCACCTATTTAATGCCACACCATTCCAATTTGCCTTGTAACAGTATAGGGTAGGCAAAAAACCCTCTTAGAACATAAGAGGGGAAAAAATCCTACCCAGCCCCCTAATGGCAACCCTAATATGCTGTTTAATGGGAGGGAGTGGTGGGTCAATGCTCAACTTCAGAATGAGGAAGGGGGCCAGCCAGAGCTGAGAGCCTGGCTTGCCCCTTTCCAGATAGTTCCAACCGGAATAGGTTTCTCTCTTAGAGGGAGGAGGCAAACTCCTCTCCCTCCACAACTGCACAGTGGTGGGAAAGCTTTTTACTGTTGCAGGAATCATTTCTGCTTCATTTGGAAACAGAGAGAGATGAGATGGAATAGAGCTGGACTTGTCAAGAGAAAATGCAAACAAAATAAGGATCTTTTAAAAGAACCTCACTCTTTTTGAAATGTATACTCATAAATACGTACTCTGTATCTATCTTCTAAGAAGTAAATCCCAATTCAATTGAGCCTTGCTCATACAATTTCCATTTGGACATAATTGTGATTGGGCAGCACGAATCTAAAGTATGTTTATGCAAAATTCATAATTCAATGGAGTTAATCATTGCAACCCCTACTTTAAGATAATATTTTCTCCATTATTAGGCATTTCCTGTACTTCACTATATCATACCTAATTGAAAGTATGAGTATTTTTCATTATCTCATTATTTGACATTTTGTAGCATTTAATTCAAAAAGCTGTGTTTGCATCTAGTAATAAGAAAGTCACATGGAAAGATGTTTGGGGAAAGACACTCAGTTTCTGACTGAAACATGTTCAGAATTACTTCTCATATGGATGCACACTAAGAACCCCTTCACACAGGGCAAAAATGCCCCATTTTGCTGCTTTCACGGCTTGGATGGGGTCTACCATGCACCATCACACGATGCATGGAAGGCTCTGCCCACTTTCCTCCCAAAGTGGAGGCAAAGCACCAAAAGGCACTTTATCTTTCACTACAGGGAGGAAAGGGTTGTTCAGGTTGCTCTGATAGAGCTCCCACATTTTCCTCCTCAAATTCCTGTGTGATGGCCAAAAGGATGGTAGGGCAATGCACATTGTCACCCTTTCTGCCATCTGATGAGGGGAGGGAAAGGGTGCCAAGTACCCTCTCCTGTTCCCTTCATGTGATGAGGGGAGGAGGGTGGGCACACAGGCTGTCACAAGCCACCCCACACCCTTTCCTTTTCACTGACAATTACTGGCATAACGGCATGGCCCAAAAGGGCCATGTGAAGAGGTCCTAAGAGGTGATGTAAAATACATCGTGGGAAACAATTGAGTGGAGAATTATGAAAGCTATAGAGTGAGTAGGTTCACACAAAAATATAATTTGTGTTCTGTGAAGGCACTCTAAGCATGGGAAACAAGGAAGAAAAATAGCAGGAACCTTTCAAAGATCACATACTATAGGAGTTGGGGGTGCAGTGGCATGCTGCCTAAGAGAGGAAAACAAACAAACAAAAGATAAAGGCTATAAACTGTTTTGGCTCTAGATGGGTAAGATATGGCCACCACAACCATCCTTAAAAGAAGGCATCCATGGAGGTAAGGGGAACAAAGATAGCATGACATCTTAGTTATTTTCACCACTTCCACAAAAAAAGCAAAATAGTGTTGCTAAGTACTTCTCAATAGCATTATTTCAGAACCAAATAATATAAAACACAATTGCCTTAGTAAGCTGTTTCCATGCTTCCTGCCTGGTATCTTTATCAACAGGATGTTGGAGGAAAGATTTGAGATTTTCTTTTCCGCTTACACCATGCTTTGGCATCTGGTAGCTCCCATGCCACAGGGTGGTGACTCTATTCTGGGATTTGGCTGGCTTTGAAGGAGCCGTCCAATGTGCAAAAATGATTTAGGAATAGCATCCAGCACCTTGAAAAACTCTTTTACAATCTGCATTGAAACCTGCTATGTTTTCATGTATGCATACACACACATCCCCACTGATATGGAGACTTTTCTCTGTGAGCCATGTGGAGTCATGTTTTCGCTTTGTAACAAAGATAAGGAGTTGTCTGCAAACATATAATGCCCTTCCTTAGCCTTCACTCAGCAGCCATCATCTGAACTGTCCTTTCCTTTCTGGGGGTGGTGGTGGTGGGGGGGGATATGTCCCTTATGTAAAATGAACAGTCAGAGCTTCTCACGCTTTCAAAATGCAATTTATCAATGCCTATTTCATCCAACTATGTAAGTGTTTTCCTGATGCCAAAAAAAACCCTGTTCCTTTAATCATACTCTTTTGTCTGCTTGAATCCCTTATTCAATTAATGGAATGACCAGGATTGCGAGGGATTCAGGGTCCACCAGGGAAAGCTGGGCCTCCTGCACAGAAAGGAGATCTTGGACCCATAGGAGAAAAAGGAGAAAAAGGATCAACTGGAAGTTGTGATGATTCAGGTAAGTGACCCAGATTTATTAGTCACCCTCCCAGCTTTAAATGTAAATGAAAGAATAGAATGCACTGATGGTGAGTCTTGAGATGATATGGGTCTAAAGTAGACTTGGTGACATGATGAAATAAGTTCTTTTTTGAGATATATTCAAAATATGGGAAATAGGGCACATGGGGGGGGGGGGGTTGAGTTGACATTTGGTATCAAACAGCAGGTTCCCTTTCAGAGCAAAGAAGAACAGTGCATTTTTTCCAGGACCTCAATTGTTAGTTTAAGATCTACTGGGGAGGCCCTGCTCTCGGTCCCACCAGCGTCTCAAACACGTCTGGTGGGGACGAGGGACAGGGCCTTCTCGATGATGGACCCCGCTTATGGAATTCGCTCCCCAGAGAGATTAGATTGGCGTCCTCCCTCCTTACTTTTAGGAAAAAACTAAAGATGTGGTTTTGGGCACAATAGCACTTTAGGCACTGAACTTGGACAATAGGATTGTTTGAAAATTGGAAATGGCTTTATGACCTGTGATTCTGTGATATGTTCTATGTGGTTATGTAATTTTAATTAATATCACTGCTTAATTGTTATGTAATGGATTTTATATTGCTGTTTTATATTGTTGTTTTGATACTGTTGGCATAGAATGGTTGCCTGTGTTAGCCGCGCTGCGTTCCCCCTCGAGGGTGAGAAGGGCGGGGTAGAAATGGTCTAAATAAATAAATAAATAAATAATAGTTATAGGGGGAACAAAACATTAAGCTGTCATTGTAGGTGCAGATTCAGATAGAACAGGCCACAAGAAAAAGTTATTTCTGCTTCCCCTGCCATTTTGAGCCATGGCAGAGTTCATGGGTAGAAGTGGAACATGCTAAGCAACTCTATGGAGCTGGGTCTAGGAACTCTATGGAGCTGGGTCTGCTAAAAGGGTCAAGGATTATGTTATATTAGGAGTGCACTACTTGGGATACCAAGTATCCTTGATTAAAGTTCACCTAGAGTAGACAGCAGTGATGGCCACTGTCTGGACATCTGAGACCTGACGGAGAACTGGAGGTCAGGTACCAATGTGCTAATACTTAGAAAAATTACAACTTTGAACTATGGTTCCCAGTATTCCTCTGTGAGTATGGCCACTGTTCATATGGATTAGGTGACTGTGGTTTATGCAGTTTTGAAAAACCTTTCCAAGCTTTGCCCGCTCCTCCAGTTATGCCACAATTTGAGTCCAGATTAACTAAGACTGAAAGTGCTATTCTCTTAGTACACAAAGCTGCATGTACATTTAATATAAGATTTATTTTCACCTCAGCAAATGTTGCACAAGTAACAAAATTCTTTTTCAGAGCTGGAGCTGCTTAAAACACAGGTAAAAGATTTACAAATGGAAATGAAGATTCTGAAAGAAGATATCAAAAAAGAGAAAGGTGAATTGCTACATATCACTGTGACAGATGAACTCTACCACTACTACTAGGCCTGGGTGGTTTCGTTCGTTAATTTTGTAATTCGTTAAATATTCGTTATTTTTAACAATTACAAAACGATTACAAAACATATTTTCAAACCCGGAAGTGTTTTTAAATATCGAAACGGCATCCTCCATCTTTTTTACGGGCTTCCGCCCGTTTCGGAAATGACGTTTTAGGGATGGAGGATGCTGGGTGCGCCGGGAGCCAATCCGGCGCTCCCAAGCACCGTGGCTCATTGTGATTGGGCGGGCTGCCCTTTAAAAGCGGCTCCGCGTGGCCGCATTGCTCATTGCGAAGGAGACGGGAGGTGCGGGAGGGAGGCTTGATGGTTGGCTCTTGGCTGCTTGCTTGCATTCATTCATTCATTCATTCATTCATTGCTTGTGCTTGCATTCATTCAAAAAATATTCTAAAAAAAGAAAAGACCCTTGTGTGCCTGTGTGTGTGAGTTTGTCCCTGTCCTGTGGCTGTGTTCGCTCCACAACAGGGCAAGCATTGTTAATTTTCCATTTTTAAATATTTCAAAAAATATTTATAAACAAATATTTCAAAAAAATTCAAAAAATATTCTAAAAACGAAATTAACGAAATTAACGAAATTTCGTATATACTGAACTTTTCAAAGGAAAATTTTGTAATTATTTTAAATATCGAAACGCAAAACCCCCCCAAATACAAATCGATTTTAGAAACAAATTTTTGTGTTGTTACCCAGGCCTAACTACTACAATTAAAATTTTCACTCTGTAACTTATACTATACTAGAAGAGCAATGCCGAATACAGTAGCATTCTGACTGTGCTTTTTTAGGGATGTGCGATCCAAAAAATAGTTCAAAAGCCCTTACAAAACAGGGGAGAGAGCACTAAGGTGAATAATAGAAATATAAACAAGAGTGGAATGTACAGTAGATATTAAAGGAAACTATATATCTACTGTATTATAAATGTATCACAATCATACTGACTCATTTTATATACTAATAAAATTAAAATATAGAAAAAACTGGGGGTGCTAGTGTTTTGTTTCTAAACTGTTTGTACAATTAGGGGAAATTACTATAACAAGGGTAATGAAATTTTGTTATTATTTCATTATAGTAATTGTACATAATTACTATAATTGGGGAAACTTCAGAGGCTCCTTTCTCCCACATTTCACAGCTATGGGAGGGACAAATTTATTCCCATCCTAATTAGGGCTTTCTTAAGTTTTTGCATTGGTGCCCCCACACCCGACTTCTTGTTATTTGTTTGTATATACAAAACTTATGAATTACATATGACTTAAAATTTAAAAATAAAGATTTGCACATCCCTAATATTGTACAGCAGTATGGCCTCAATATCCTAAAAGCACCATAGAGGCTGCCTATGAATATTATGTGCTGTATGCTATATTTTAGAGGAAAGTGGCAAAACTACCTTGTGAAATTATACTATGTAACAAAATTTGAAAGAATTTTCTGTTCCTGGTTTGAAAGTATTATTTCCCATTTAATTGTGTGGTACTTACTTTGAAAGTAGTTGTTATGCTCCAGAAAGGTCGTTTTTATGACTACCACAAAGTGTTAAATTGGTTGAGGCTTGATCAGCTCTTCATTGAAAAACTATTTATTTATTTATTTATTTAGCGCTTTTATAACCCCGTCTTCTCGACCTACGAAGAGGGACTCAGGCTGGTTCACAACAAAAGATTCATAAACAATAATATAAAACATCACACCTCATAATACACTAATACATAAAATACATTAAAATACAATCATATAATTACATAAGGCCAAGTCGTCAGAATGAAATCACAATTCATCACCATCCGTCCATGTAATCAAGAGTTATTGACTTACTCATCAAATGCTAAATTCCAAAGCCAAGTTTTCATCAGCTTTCTTAAAGTCAGGAGAGAAGGGGCAGTTCTAATCTCCAGTGGGAGAGAGTTCCAGAGCTGAGGGTCCATCACTGAAAAGGCCCTGTCCCTCGTCCCCACCAGACATGATTGCGAGAGTGGTGGGACCGAGAGCAGGGCCCCTCCAGAAGATCTTAACAATCTTGATGGTTCATAGGGGAGAATCCGTTCAGACAGGTAATCTACAGGAAAATGTGCTGCATTTTTCATGTTTTATGATAGAACCAATTAGGAAATGACATTTACAACCCAGGAACAATAATTGTGTTACATAATGTAATGTATTGAATAAGTACAGACAACAAAGTCCATGATTCAGTGTAAAAACACACACACAAGTGCCTAATTCTGCATAATTATGCTTGTTTGAATGTTTAAATTTTGTGTCTGCCTTATGTTTAATGGTTTTTAATTGGTTTTACATAGTTATATGCAGTAATTAGTTATTATGATTTCTTTGTGTACTGTATGTTGGCATTGAATTTTTGCCATTAGTATGTTGTAAACCGCCTTGAGTCCCCCTAGGGGTGAGAAAGGCACTATATAAATACAGTAAATAATAATATTCAAAACCTGGAATAGTGGAAGTGCCAAGGGTCTCACCAAAACCAAATGTGATCATGGTGATTTTCGGACAGATGGGTGATATTTGGGGACTTATAACTTAATTTGGTGCTGCTCCCTCACATGGGGTTGGAGGATTGGAGGTATATGATAAAATGTGTGACATATCTGTTTCTTTCTAGTTCAGCATGTTCCTAATGGCATAATGGTTGGTGAGAAAACATTTCGAGCTGATGGTTCCAAGGGTACATATGAAATTGCACAATCCAAATGTGCGCAGACTGGTGGTGTACTTGCTTCTCCAAGGAATGCTGTTGAAAATGGTGCTTTGCGGGAAATAGTGAATTCACATAATATGAATGCACTACTAGGAATAAATGATATTCAAACAGAGGGCACATTTAAGTATCCAGATGGAGAAACAATAGGTTTTGCAAATTGGAATACAAATGAACCAAATGATGCCGGTGGGGAGGATTGTGTAGAAATTTTTGGAACTGGACAATGGAATGACATCCCTTGTAGTCTTGAAAAACTAATAATTTGTGAATATTAAGTCAGAAGTCATTCCAAGGATCACAACATTTAATATATTTTATTTACAACTTTCAACCAATTGAACTATACCATTGATCAACCATCTGACTAAGATTTAGGAACTAACTGATCAATTAAATAGATTTATTTCTGAATAAAATCTATATGATTTTGAGTGTGGAGTGCTGAAAAACTAAACTGACAACTTATTCTTTATGGGTGTAGATGACATATTAAATTCCATATTGCAGAAATCCACTAGAAGCAGCATTGTCTCAAAATAGTTTTCTATATAACTTAAATTTTGAGAAACACATATTTAGTAATCAAGACATTCCATTCTAATTCAGTACAGATTGTCTGTTTAATAATCTGCTCTGGAATCTTTCCCAGTACTGATAACAGGCAGGTTGGGCACTAATATTTGATCCACCTGGTAGGATCCTCTCCCCACCTCACCCCCTTTTTTTAAAAAAAAAGTCAGGGACAACATTCAGTCCAGTGTGCTGGGACTGTTCACCTATTCTTCAGAAATTTTCTCACTTGAACCTTTCCTACTCACTCCTATGGCACACAGCAAATAGGAATTGATCAGCAACTGAACAAGAGGTTTGGGAAGAATTCACTATGATTTAGAGGAGTTGTAGTACATACAGAGAGAACTGTGAACCCAATCAACAATAGATCTGGACCACACTTGCCACAGAGGATGGGATTTGGGGGGGGGGGAATGACCCACCCACATGGGATTGTAATTCATCTTGTAGCCAGAGATATTACCAAACTTCCCAAAACAAACAATGCCTTTCTCAAGTAGCCAGGGCATTGCTGGGTCTCCAAGCTAGTGTGTGTGTTTGTGTGTGTGTAACAGACATGGACAAACCTTTTGACACATTGTGTTTTAAAATTTGACAGATAGGCCAGGCCAGTGACAGATACACAGTGTTCGTGTGAACTAACACTGGGAAGTCTGACTTGGCCACGGTGGTACATGCTCAGGTTACATCCCGTATAGACTACTGCAATGTTCTCTATGTGGGGTTGCCTCTGAAGACTGCCCAGAAGCAACAACTAGTACATAGAGCGGCAGCCAGATTACTAACGGGAGCGGGGTACAGGGAGCATACTACTCCTCTGTTGCGCCAGCTCCACTGGCTGCCAATCAGCTTCCGAGCACAATTCAAAGTGCTGGTGTTGACCTATAAATCCCTAAACGACTCTGGCCCTATTTACCTGTCCGAATGGATTCTCCCCTATGAACCATCAAGGTTGTTAAGATCGTCTGGAGGGGCCCTGCTCTTGGTCCCACCACCTTCGCAATCGCGTTTGGTGGGGACGAGGAACAGGGCCTTTTCGGTGGTGGCCCTTGGCTTTGGAACTCCCTCCCAATGGAGATTAGATCTGCCTCTTCCCTCCTGACATTTAGAAAGCAGGTAAAAACATGGCTTTGGGATACTGCATTCGCAGAATGATGACTGAGTCAATAACTGCTGACCTTTCTGACGGATGGTGATGAATTTGTGATTCTTTGGATGAAGTGATTTTTGCTGTAATTTGTATGAATTGTATGAAGTGTATTTTAATGTATTTTATATTGATGACCTATAGTGTTTTTCTTATTGTATTGAATTTTATGTTGTTAGCGGTCTGAGTCCCTCCCCGGAGGTGAGAAGTCCGGGGTATAAAAACTCTAAATAAATAAAATAATAAATAAACTAATTGGGGGGAAAACATGAACACATTCTTATGCACACTGCACATATCTTATTTGTGGTGCAAAGAAAAAGGAAAGAAAAAATAATACAATATTTAAAATGAAGAACAATTTTAACCAACATAAATGTAACAGTATTTCAGTGGAAGACCCCAGGGGCTATCCAGTTCAATCCCCTTCTGCCATGCAAGAAAAGAACAATCAAAGCACCTCAACTGATGGCCATCCAGCCTTTGTAGTAGTAGCAGTAGTAGTAGTAGTAGAAGTAAATAATAATAATAATAATAATAATAATAATAATAATAATAATAAAGAGCAACCCCAAAGGCCAACTTTTAGCAAGGAAAAAAAGGCTTTCGGGGGAAAGGGAGGGGGAAAATCAAGAAAGAGGAGGGAAATATTAGAGGGAAGGTGGAGTGCCTGAGAATGCTTCACAGAGCCCCAAAGTCTCCATGGAGTACACTGAGAACCACTGGACTAGAGACCTCTAACACCATGGGCCATTTTCCCCTAGCTGCTTATTTAAGTAGTTTTTCCATCTCACATGTGAGTTGTATATTTTATCCAGTTCTCTCTATAATCATTGGGCTATTATCTCCAACACCTGGTGAACTCCTGTCTTCAAGAATGATGACTCCTTTCCCCACAAATTTCATTTTCAAGTCCTCCTGATCATATTTGTAGCAGTCTTACCAACAAAAAAACATTCCTGTCAACTGTTGAGAAATGTAACCCGTCGCTTGCCAGAAAACCATCCTCATGAAAGTACATACCATGATCCAAGAAGCTAAAACTCATTCCTAGCATCACTATGTTGAGACAGTTGTTCATCTACACTGTTCTTTCTCTACCTATGCCATATTCTTCAACTGGGAGCAAAAGTGAAAAGATAATTTGTATATTGAGGCCATTTAGTTTCCTACTCAGAGCCATGTAATCCCTCATGATATGCTGAAGGCTACACCTTATAATGTGATTGATTCTCATATTGACCAAAAGCTAAGGTCAGTTGGCTTGACAAACCTTGTCACCCACTTTGTTACATCACAGATTTCTTTCCACTTAGCAAGATAGCAAAACTTTCAAGTCATCCTATAAGGCTTACAAATCACTTTTGTTGCAATCAGCAGGGAGCCCCCTAACACCACCATATGTCCCCTTGGCATTTGGCAATGGCCATTCCTTGTGCTAACGGTTCCAGGGCCACCTACACATTCCCTGAGGACAGACACTGTTGCTTTTCTTCTAGCTATTCCTTATCATCACTGTTAGTAGAGAGTGCTTCTATTCAAATCTGTAGTTTCAAGCTCAAAAAATGATCCCTAGTCCCAGGCCCATAGCCAGGATTTCGATTCAAGGGGGGGCTGAGTTTTTTTCAGGGGGGTTCGGGGGGGCTGAGGGGGGCTGAGTCTGAGTGAAAGAGGGTCTAGCCTAGCAAACCTTTTGTATCATTACCCCAACACCCCCATGCATATGGGATATATTGAGTATGGTGATCAGATCATGATATGAATAATGCACCAGTAAGGCCTTTTCGCGAACCACCATGAGAATTTCGGGGGGGGCTGAAGCCCCTCAAGCCCCCCCCCAGCTACATGCCTGCCCCCTACCTAAGCATCCTCCAAATGTCTACCTCTTGCACTTGGTGTTATCGAGGATCTCCAACCCCCCCCCTAATAAAAAGAAGACATAGTTCGACCTCTGTGGGAATTGTAGTTTCCCAAGGATGGAAGTACAGGTGAACTGGAAATGGCCTCCATCTCCACAACCTCCTTGACATTGGCTAAGACCCACCTCCTGATCAACTGGAGGCCTGGGGAATGCCAAATGGATTCTCGGCACTAGCCAATCAGGGTAAAGGGAGGGAGTTTCTAGATGTAGCAATGTTAATGCATGAGAATTGTTGTGTATAATAATGTTTGCTTATGATTACGCTTTTACGCTTATACCCTTTGAGCATCCGTGCTATATGAGTGATCCTTTTGCACAAATTGAATAAATGTCTTTGTCATTTGCCTTCCAAATGGTGAGATTCCTGGTTCCTGATTCATGCCATGCACAGTTAGCAAAGCTAGATATTCCACTCCAAATTTCTGGCATCATTGCGACCTGATCCATTCCTCTGAAATGTTCATTGTATTTTTATCTTCCATAACTGTCTGCTCTGCTGTGTCCAAAAAGCTCATACTCCCTAACAGGCTGGAGCAATGTTTCTCGAACTCTCCTCCTCCAGATATTTGGACTTCAGCTTCCATAATTCCTAACAGCTGATAAGCTCCTGGGATTTCTGGGAGTTGAAGTCCAAAACACCTGGAAGACCAAAGGTTGAGTAACACTGGAGTGGAAAGTAGATACAAGTTGTTGGACCTTCTCTTCCAACAGAGGGCTAATTAATTGGAAAGATGTCAAGATCTCAGGTGTTCCAAATGACTTTTTACTGCAATGTTTTGTTAATGATGAGTTTAATAAAGACACTTCTCAAAAACAATCTGAGCAAAGAAAATTATTTTTTGGAAATTGTATCATGTTTGTATAATAACAATTTTAACAGCAATAAATGGTCTAAAATTATTATTCCAGTATTGTCGAAGGCTTTCATGGCCGGAATCACTGAGTTGTTGTAGGTTTTTTCAGGCTATATGGCCATAGAGGCATTCTTTCCTGATGTTTCGCCTGCATCTATGGCAAGCATCCTCAGAGGTAGTGAGGCCTCACTACCTCTGAGGATGCTTGCCATAGATGCAGGTGAAACTTCAGGAGAGAATGCCTCTAGACCATGGCCATATATTTATTTATTTTTATTTACAGCTTTTATATTCCACCCTTCTCACCCCACAGGGGACTCAGGGCGGATTACAATGTACTCATATATGGCAAACATTCAATGCCAATTTTGACATACAACATATACAGACATAGACAGAGGCTATTTAACTTTTTCTGGCCGCCAGGGGAGCTGTCGCTTTCATCGTCCATCTGCGACACTGATGAAGTACTTCCGCATTCCCCGCATGCTTTTTGCTGGAGTCTTTATGGCCTCATAAATCAGTTAATTTAGCCTCCCCACACTTTAAGGTGGTACCTTATTTTCCTACTTGACAGATGCAACTGTCTTTCGGGTTGCAAAGGTCGACAACAGGCTACACACAATTGGTTGGAAACCCACTCCAACCCGGGCTGGCTTCAAACTCATGACCTTTTTGGTCAGAGTGATCTTAATGCAGCTGACACTCAGCCAGCTGCGCCACAATCCCGGTGCTCATATAGTTCCTCATGAGGTGGTGACCCGTTCCGATGAACCTGTAGGCACAACAACTGGAGTCGTGCACTCCCAGGAGTGGCCGCAGGGGAGGTTCCAGACCAAGCACAGTCCGAAGACCCAAAGACCTCAACGGCGGAGCAGGCGGAGGATAACATGGTACATGTTACAACGGCTGCGAAGGCGGAAGAAGGCTGCAACAGACTGAGAAGCCACGGTCATTGTGTTAAACTACATCACCAGTGGAACCTCACTCTGTGAAGTCTGTGTGTTGATCAGTTGTGCACTGACCTCCACACATTAAAAAAAACCCACGCACAGGCGTCTTCCAAAGAAAATAAAAACAAACCAACCAAAGTCCCATGGCGATCAGCGAGTGGCGACGGGGGCAGGACTGTGAAATCTGGAAGCCCCTAGTCACAGACTGGCACATGGGTGGTGGGTACGGACTCAGTCGTTCTACCTCAAGGTCCGAGGCAGTTGAGTAGTTCCGCAGCTGTATCCGCGACTGAGCAGCCCTTTTGAGGACCCACTCTGCTCACCCCACATGGGGAGGGGGCTAGAAAAGGTGCCCTAAACATAGTCTGCCTCACTTATCCCTGACTGGACTGCCGCGTCCAGTGGGGTCACCACCCTGCGGCCAAAAAAGAAAAATGAACTTCGGTACGTGGAACGTACGGACTCTGATGGACAACAGTGGCAGTGAACGCCCCGAATGCAGAACTGCCATCATTGCAAGGGAGCTGGGACGCTTCAACATCGACATAGCAGCCCTTCAGGAGACCCGGAGAGCAGGAGAGGGACAGCTGAAGGAAGAAAAAGGAGGCTACACCTTCTTCTGGAAGGGACTGCCCGAAAAAGACCAAAGAATGCACGGAGTTGGCTTGCCATCAGGAATGATCTGGTGAAACATCTGTCCGAAGCACCCACTGGCATCAACGAACGACTCTCAACCCTCCGAATCGATCTTGCCAAAAACCAACGGGCAACCATCATAAGTGCCTATGCACCAACACTAGATGCTGAAGAAGACATCAAGGAGAAATTCTACTGTCAGCTGGACACCGTCCTATCAGGGATACCTAAGGAGGACAAAAATCATCCTCCTGGGGGACTTCAACGCAAGAGTCGGGCGAGACTTCGACCTGTGGCCAGGGACCATAGGAAAAGACGGGGTTGGAAACAGCAACTCAAATGGCATCCTGCTTCTCACCAAATGTGCGGAGCACAACCTTGTCATCACCAACACGCTCTTCTGCCAGAAAAACAAGTTCAAGACATCATGGAAGCACCCCCGGTCAAAGCATTGGCACCTCTTAGACTATGTAATCACACGCGCCAGAGACCGCCGTGACGTGCTCCTCACAAGAGCCATGACAGGTGCTGACGACTGCTGGACTGACCACAGGCTAATTCGATCCTCGATGGCTCTCAAGATCGCTCCCAAGCGCAGACTCCAAGGAAGGAAGACAAGGCGCAAAATGAACACCCAAGCCCTTCAGGAGCCCTCCAGACGAGCCCATCTCCAAACAGCACTCAAGGACCATCTACCCACAGTACACCCCGAAAATGTCGAGGAACATTGGAACAAACTGAAGACCTCCATCATCCAAGCCTGCGAAGAAACTATTGGATACCAAGCCAAGAAACATCAAGACTGGTTTGATGAAAATGACATCGAGATCCAACAGCTAATTGACAAGAAAAGGAAAGCCTTCCAAGCATGGCAGAGAGACATCAACTGTGCTGCTAAGAAAAAGATCTATGCCAGTGCAAAAGCTGAGGTCCAAAGAAGGACAAGAGAACTCAAGAACATCTGGTGGACAAAGAAGGCCGAAGAAATCCAACACCTGGCAGATACCCATAATGCTCAGGGATTTTTCAAAGCCACAAAGGTCATCTACGGACCAAGAAACCATGGCATACAGCCTCTACGCTCATCAGATGGAACCAAACTCCTGAAGGACCAAAACTCAATTGCACTACGTTGGAAAGAACACTACCAAAGCCTCCTGAACCGCAGCTCCAATGTGGCCGAAGAGGTCCTCTCACAAATCCCGCAACAACAAACCAGGGATGAGCTTGCAGCACTGCCTAGTCTGGAAGAAGTCAGCAATGCCATCAGCCAACAAAAGAATAACAAAGCCAGCGGACCGGATGGGATCCCTGCTGAAATCTTTAAAGAGGGAGGACCTGAGCTGACACAACAACTCCACCAGTTCATCGAAAAAGTGTGGGTAACCGAGAAAATCCCAACAGACTTCAAGGACGCCACCATCATCACCCTTTTCGAAAAAGGGGAAAGACCAGACTGCGGAAACTATCGAGGTATCTCCCTTCTAACCTCCGCTGGGAAAATCCTCGCAAGAATCCTTGCAAACCGCCTTCTGCCCCTCTCAGAAGACACCCTCCCAGAATCCCAGAATGGCTTCCGCCCCTCCAGAGGAACTGTGGACATGATCTTCACGGCACGACAGCTCCAAGAAAAATGCAGGGAACAAAACCAACCTCTGTACATGGCATTCATCGACCTTGCAAAGGCATTCGACACAGTGAATCGCAGTGCTCTCTGGACCATCCTCCACAAAATCGGGTGCCCTAACAAATTTGTGAACATCCTGCGGCTCCTCCATGATGACATGATGGCAACAGTCTTGGACAGCAATGGCTCCCAAAGTGACCCATTTAAGGTGGAATCAGGTGTCAAACAGGGATGTGTTATTGCCCCAACTTATTCTCCATCTTCATCGCTATGATACTTCACCTTGTTGATGGGAAGCTTCCCACCGGAGTGGAAATCATCTATCGGACAGATGGCAAGCTATTCAACCTCAGCAGACTGAAAGCCAAAACCAAGGTTACAACATCTGTTATAGAACTCCAGTATGCTGATGACAATGTCGTCTGTGCGCATTCAGAAGAAGATCTACAAGCCACTCTAAACACCTTCGCAGAAGCATACGAGAAGCTCGGCCTGTCACTGAACATTGAGAAAACCAAGGTGCTGTTCCAGCAGTCACCAGCCAATCCCTCCCCAATGCCAGTAATACAGCTTAATGGTGTAACATTAGAAAATGTGGACCATTTCCGCTACCTTGGCAGCCACCTCTCCACCAAAGTCAACATCGATGCCGAAATACAACACCGCCTGAGCTCTGCAAGTGCAGCATTTTCCAGAATGAAGCAGAGAGTGTTTGAGGACCGGGACATCCGTAGGGATACCAAGGTGCTTGTTTATAAAGCTATTGTCCTCCCAACCCTGCTATATGCCTGTGAGACGTGGACTGTCTACAGACGTCACATGCAACTCCTGGAACGATTCCATCAGCGCTGCCTCCGGAAAATCCTGCACATCTCTTGGGAAGACAAGCGGACAAACGTCAGTGTGCTGGAAGAAGCAAAGACCACCAGCATTGAAGCGATGGTCCTCCAACATCAACTCCGCTGGGCCGGCCACGTTGTCCGGATGCCTGACCACCGTCTCCCAAAGCAGTTGCTCTACTCCGAACTAAGAACGGAAAACGGAACGTTGGTGGACAGGAAAAGAGATTTAAAGATGGGCTCAAAGCCAACCTTAAAAACTCTGGCATAGACACTGAGAACTGGGAACCCTGGCCCTTGAGCGCTCCAGCTGGAGGACAGCTGTGACCAGCAGTGCTGCAGAATTTGAGGAGGCACGAGTGGAGGGTGAAAGAGAGAAACGTGCCAGGAGGAAGGCGCGTCAAGCCAACCCCGACCGGGACCGCCTTCCACCTGGAAACCAATGCCCTCACTGCGGAAGAAGATGCAGAGCAAGAATAGGGCTCCACAGCCACATACAGACCCACAAGGAAATCCATAATGGAAGACCATCTTACTCGTCCAACGAGGGATCGCCTAAGTAAGTAAGTAAGTAATGCAGCTGACACTCAGCCAGCTGTGCCACATATAGCTCGAAAAAATCTACAACAACCCTATTATTCCAGTGTTCATTTGTGATGGTTAAAACTAAAAAAAAGCTAGTATATTAGGCTTTATAAAACACTGTAGGCTTTTTAAAAAAAACAAAGCACATTCAAGTAATGTAAAATGAGAGTGGATCTGTCAAGATCCAGAAGCCTCAAGAAAGCCAAACACAATATAAAAGGTCCAAACACAGGTTTATTGATCACAAGAAAGGCTTAGAGACACTTGCTTCAGTGTTTCTAGCACAAACTCAAAGTCTATAGCAACCGCTAAGTAAAAAAAACCCAATTTAAATATAATCCGGATTATCCCAGAGTATAATCTGGGATAACGAAAATATACAGCAATCTGCTTGTAATTCAAAATGTCCAAAAGGCACCAAAAAACAATGTGGGAGCAAGCAAAATCAGAGTACAAAAGCAGTCCGTAGTCCAGGCACGTCCAAAGTAAGAAGAAGCAGTCCAAAAAGCGTAGTCGTTGTCAAAACACGGTCCGGAGTCAAACAGGGAGACTTGTAGTCAGCACTTACGAAGTATCAGCCAGAAGTCACAGAAACACGAAGATCTGTAGTCCAAGGACCCAAACTTGAGAGTAATGGTAGGAACAAAGATACACACCTGAAAAAAACACTTTGCCTTCTGCAAAGACCCATTGAAACCAACCAACTTACATCCTAAAGCTCCTCATCAGAGGATGAACTGCTCCCCACCCTTTCAGCTGCCCCATTCCCTGCAGCTGAGCACTGCCTCCCATCTCTCCACCTTTGCCAGCGTCTGTCAAGACTTAGGTCCTCCCAAGTGTTCCCCGATTGCCACTCTTCTGCAAACCCCTCAAAGTCATCACTGGAGGTAGGCTGAGTACAGATATCCCTAATTTCCTGTACACGGGTCCAGTCCAAATCACCCTCCTCCTCAATGTCACTCCCAGTCCCATCACTCCTTTCAAAACCCATAAAATCTTCATCTTCTGTTGGAGCGCTAAGTATATCATGGATATGCTTCCTTTGGAGCTCCTCATCAGATTCTTGTTCACGAGTAGCCCGCTTAACTCCCCTGCTTTCCTCTCCTTCCCCCATTTCACAATCTGAGAAACCCTTGAAGGATTCAGAATCAGTTGGAGCCATGAATATGTCTCTAATCCGCTTTCGCTGCTGCTCCTCTTCCAACACCTGCGCAGCCCTCTTCTCCCTTCTACTAGTAGTAGTAACGTTACTATCACACTGTACTACAACAGGATCTTTCACATTTGGAGTGACACCAATCAGTCAGGTTTTACAAGAGGTAACAGCAAGGGGGGAAAATCCCACAAAAATATGTATGTACCTGATAGGGAACAAAGTGTCTCCCAAAAATGGTCCACTTTTTGTGGCCTCAATTCAGAACTCTGTTTAACTGTTTGGAGAGGTCAAATGTGGCTCACCTCTTCCTTCCTTCTGGGAACTTGGTATTGTTTGAGCAACTATGCATACAAACTCTATTCTTCCTAATATTTACTCTTTTCCCCCATCCTCCCATTTTAAAGATTTCTCAACCTCACTAGACATTGGAATTATAAGGTCATCCTAGAGAATGTACCAGAAGTTAAGTCATGTGTACTATAATAGACCTGATAATGGTTCAAAAGTATTGCGGATTTTTGTATGACTGTCATACAAGTCTTGCGGATTTTTATATGACTGTCATTCATAAAATGCCACAAGATGGAAAGAAACAACTTTGGAGAGGTGATCTGAAAAGGTAACTTTAAATGTATTCTTGTTATCTAGTAAATCAATAGGCAAAGAGCTTATCATAAAACACCACAGTCCATGCTAATAAATGGTGAAATAGAAAGCCCAATTTTGCAATGCATAGATTTGTGCAAGCCTGGGAATTAAGTAAACATACTCACTTGTGTAGAGGGTTTTTCCTTACCCTGTTTTTTTCTCGGCATTCTGAAGAGAAGATAAATCTGCTCTTTTTTCCTGCCTTTGTATTTTTTCACATCAAATGAATTATTTTATTTGAAACTGGATTGAGCTGGTAAGTAATGCTACTTTACATCTTAATTTCCCCCACCTTTAGTGGTTGCTTTATTCAGTTGGTCTTCCTCCATGCTCTTGATGCAGCTGAATGAAATGTAATCATGTTTTCTTTGGGTGCTTCTACACAGACGCTATAATGAATTTGAAGCCACCCTCAATTTGTGCTGTAGCACAGATCAAGCCAGAACTTGCACACAAAGGCCCCTTCCACACTGTCCTATATCTCAGGAACTGACTCCAAATTATCTTGTTATCCCAGCTTATCTGGCAGTGTAGATGCATATAATCTATTTTAAAGTAGATAATCCAATCATGAGGTATAAGGCAGGGTAGAAGGGGCATTAGGTGAGCATTACAATTATTGTGTTTTATGGCCAGAATCACTGGATTGCTGTGAGTTTTTCAGGCTGTATGGCCATTTTCCAGTAGCATTCTCTCCTGACATTTGCAGCATTCTCTCCTGACCCCTGGAAAAAAAAAACTCTGAGGATGCTTCTCATAGATGCAGGTGTAAGGCCAAGAGAGAATGCTACTGGAACACAGACATACAGCCCGAAAAACTCACAGCAACCCCATTACAATTATTGAAAGCAGATATGGTTACATTGCAAAACCCAAAGCATAGTTATGCTGTTATGGATCTGGGTTAGAATCCCTGCATAATTTCCATTTAAGAAGGGCAAAATCTACCTTGAGAAGAGAAAAAGAATCACAAATTTGAGAGTGAAAGATCTGCATGTTCAAAAAGTTAGTTTCCATGCTCGTTGATACCTGCTTCAACCTTTATATCTCACCAGAGAATTTACTTGTCCGCTTTTATAATGATAATGACTCAGTGTGTGCAAATTTCCAGCAGTCAATTCTGATTGTGGCAAAATTCAGAGATTTGTGGATACAAACTGCCAAAACAAAACACTGGAAGGGCAAAATAGAACACACACAGAATTCCGGAAAAAGTTCATTAGCTTTGTTTATACTCTGATGGCTTCTTTTTCCATACTTAAAGAAGCAGCAGGTTGATGGGCATCACATGATCAGCCTCAGCCAAACACAAGCTGATTTTCCTCTCTATTGTCCTGGACTTCAAGATCCAGAATTCCCTGTTTTTTCCTTACAAGTTGTCTCCTCCTTTCAGAATGAGAGAGAAAAAAATTAAGAAATTCCTAATTATCAGTGGATGAATTGATCTTTCTGAAACTTGGCAGGAATTATGCCCTACTTCTGTTCAGTCACTGTGGAGAAAATCCAGGAGATACCTCCCTCTCTCCCTTTTTTTGGATTTTTAAAATGTTATTGGCAAAAACTTAAAACATTTCCCAAAACTAAGTGGATGAATTCTTGAATTCTTAATAATTTCAGTTCTTCACCTAGTTTTTTATCTTTTGGTTGTTTATTATGTTCAAGTTCCTTTTCTTTAATTTTCAGTTGAATTTTGTGCAGTTTGACCCAGTTTTTTTCTTTTTTTATTACACTGAGTTGTATTAATTTACCCCTCATAAAACTTTGCCATATTCCAGAATGTATATGGTGACATTTCAGAGTTGTGTTTAATTGTAGAAATCCTAAATATAGTTTTCACATTTCTTTAAGATTTCCTCTTTCTTGAATAAATTTTCATTAAGCCTCTATATTCATTGTCTGTCTTGTCCTTTTAGTTTAATTGAAATGAAGACATAGTCTGACACTATCCTTGGGTAGAATACAAAGTTTAATATTTTATTTATTTATTTATTTCACGCATTTCTACCCCGCCCTTCTCAACCCCCGAGGGGGGACTCAGGGAGGCTTACAAAAGGCACAATTCGATGCCAACAACAATAAAATAAAACATGTATCAAAAGCAATTATAAAACACTTAAAACAGTTAAAACAATCAATAAAACCAATCTAATGTTCAACGTTCACCAGCTCAGAATCCATAAATTCATTCCACATTGTCAAATCATATCAATTCTAGTCGTCATTGTCCTTTGTCTATCTGCCAGATTACCCAAAGGCCTGGTCCCATATCCATGTTTTTAGTTTCCTTCTAAAAGAGAGGAGGGATATCGATGATCTGATTTTCCCGGGAAGTGAATTCCACAGGCAAGGGGCCACCACCGAGAAGGCCCTACTCCTCGTCCCCACCAATCTCACTTGTGATAGGTGGGGCCGAGAGCAGGGCCTCCCCAGAAGATCTTAAACTCCGAGGTGGGATGTAGAAGGAGATGCGTTCGGACAGGTACGCTGGGCCGGAGCCGTATAGGGTTTTGTAGGTCAGAACCAGCACTTTGAATTGTGCTCGGAACTGGATCGGCAGCCAGTGGAGCTGACATAACAGAGGGGTGGTATGCTCCCTGTATGACGCTCCAGTGAGTAATCTGGCCGCTGCCTACTGGACTAATTGAAATTTCCGGTCTTCAAAGGCAACCCCACGTAGAGTGTGTTGCAGTAATCTATTCAGGATGTAACAAGAGCGTGGACCACTATGGCCAGATCTGTTGTGTAGTAAGGCTTTTTGTGTCCCAGATTATGCCAATTCTTGGCAGTGAATTATGTCTGTCTGATAGGAATGTAAAGTCCTTTTTGGATCCATGATGAATTTGCCATATGTCTATATGATCTAGATTAGTGGTTCCCAACATTTTTTTTGACCAGGACTCACTTGAACAGGGACCACTCTCCAACATTAGTACAAAAGGGTGAGGGGCTGGTCAGATGTGTGGAAAGGAACAAAAATAAAATAAAATAAAATAAAATAAAAGGGAATAATGTTAGTGGACTGGATTTTCGTTCTTACAGCTCACTGCTGGGCCATGGCCCATAGGGTGAGAACCACTGATCTAGATCATTTGTCAACTTCCAAAAACTTTGTCAGAATTCTCTTCCTTTGCTTTGTTTTTATGCATGAATTTTCTGTCTCTATTTTGTTCTGCCACTGCATTGAAGTCTCCTAGACTGATCAGTTCATAGCAGTTTATATTTTTATTTGATGGTGTTAGATAGTGTTCAATAATTTAATGATGTTAGGTGATATATAAAATCATACTGTCCATTCAATATGATTTTATAATTATGCTTTCTCCAATTTCCTCAATCTGGGCAGATATCCTAACTGGGAGTAATGTAATAAACCAATAAACCAATAAATCACTATCTTGTTCACAGCTGCTCCAAAACTTAATGCTTGACGCCTGAAGTTCAGACCAGCCAAGAGGGAGGGAGGGAGGAAGTAAGGCAGTAAAAGTTCAGTTGGTTTCTATCTCCTCTCTTCTCCCCCTTGACCCTGCCTCGTGTCCTGCTTTGAGAGCATCGGTAAGTCTCGTCTCTTCAAATCTTCATCTCTTCTTGCCAGGTAAGTTAAATCTCTACTCACTTTACCTTATCAAAGGTCTGTATCTTTAGTCTTTGAACTTTATGATTTAGCTAGTCCATGGACTGTAAGAGAAACCTTACTTTGAAAAAGAAACAAAAAGACAGTTGACGTTTTTGTCAAAACAGGCAGCAAGGTAGTAGCCTTGGATGCCTCTCCAGTCTTCACTCATTTCTGTGTTTACTCCTCAAATTGGGAGCTATAGGTCATAAATGCAGAAATGCAGAAACTAGATGAATCTGTGTAAAGCCCCTCTGATTCTCTCTTAGACCAGAAAGAAAAAGTCCCTGTACTTGGCTGAATAATTTACCTTGCACACAGTCTCTGAGTAGCAAGTTCATGAGTTGTCTTCACACCTCCATGCTTCCAAAAGTCTTCATTCTTGGACATCAAAACATGTGATGACTTATGGCTTATGTAAAATGTGATGAACTCTTAATTTCTAGCTTCTTGGGTTTGAAAGAAACTATGGGAATGCCTTAAAGATGCTAGATGTGAAATCAATACTCTTGACTCAATACACATTTCTATGAGACAGAAGGGTGCATTATTGTTAGTCCTAGAATGCCCAGAAAGTAGTCAGACAGGACACATATAATACAAAATACCTGAATGAGTCACTGAAACTTCACTTGAAGTAGTTCATTTCCAAAAAGCTTTCAGATTTGGTATGTATACAAACCAAGAAATATAGTGTATTTAAAAATCTAAAAATTGGACATCTTGGTAATTGTCCTATTCACATTCATTCTGTTGTGCAGTAGGTCAAGGACAATGCTTTCCCTGTAATGTCAAAGAGGAACAGGGCTTATTTGACTAATATAATGGATTGATGTAACCAACAAATAGTGGACAAATAGACTCTGTAAGTGAAATACAATCCTCCCTAACTTGTGTAAATAGTTCTATAATGGTCATAGCTATTTTTTAAACTGGTAATATATAATAATCTCCTCTTACCCTGTTCTCTTTCTAAGGCGTTAGCAATGTATGTTCTCAAGCTTCTTGGATGCCTAGTTCTGGGATCCTCACTGACATTGTCTGCAGTTTCTGAATCAAGCAGATGTGAACCAAACTCATGCACCGTAATGGCATGTGGCAACCCAGGACTCAATGGTTTACCTGGAAGAGATGGGAAAGATGGCATAAAGGGAGAGAAGGGAGACCCAGGTATTGCAAAAGTGGTCATGTTACAGTACAATTGTAAGCACTGTTTTATAGAAGCAACAACATCAACAGTAGTTTGCAATGACACTGGCAAAATCACATCTGTTTCCTACTTGTTGACTATCCTATATGCAACATACCAGAGGAAGAGTAAGTCACATAAAAGTAGTATAAGAAAGAGTTACATTGATGGCTTCTTTGTTGCTATATGTTATCATTGGGAACTATTAACATTAAAGTGATCTTTTATTTGCATTAGGAGATTCCATGAGAGGACCACAGGGTCCTCCTGGGAAAGCTGGGCCTCCTGGATCCCCAGGAACTCCAGGGATCCCAGGAATTAAAGGGAACCCAGGCCAAAAAGGACAAAAGGGAGATGCTGCCGGTAAGAAACATATTCTTTTATGGCTATATTTGGGTGTGACAGCAAACATAAATAACCCTGTCCCAACAAACTGAGCACTCCTTCTGTCTTCCCATTTATTTTTTTCAATCTAAAGCATCCTAAACAGCTTGTTTGCTCTTGTTTCAAAACCTTAGTGCTCACTCTATCAATGCTTAGAACCTTCCAGAACACAAGACATTCCTCCCTTTTGGCAATGAGAGACTATTTGACACTATTTGAATCATTCTTCTTCCATAGCTCCATTTTTCAAACAGTAGGCCCAGGTAATATATTTTATGCTTCCCCCCCCCCCCATGCTTTGGAGGGCACAAATGTTTTTCAATGGGTTCACATGAGGAAATGTTTGTGTCAAYGAGTTTCTCATTATGGTTWGTTCATCCTAATTCCAAAATTTCAGGTAGCACTTGAGCCCCCTCTGAAACAGGGATGAGTGTTGACATTAATATGAAGGGGCAGTTCATACACATAGCAATTTCCTTGTGAACCTGGCTAAAGATTCACACTTGGCTTCAACAAAATATATAGGCAATCATACGCAAAGGGACCTAATCTGGCCAGAAGGCAATCCAACCAGGAGATACTCTCTTCCAGTGTGCCATATGGTATAAAGGCACATGATGTAGGAGCTAAGCATGGGTGCATCTTAAGAAGAATTAACTTCAGGGCTATGAAATCATTAACTTCAGGGCTATGAAATCATTAACTGAAGAATTAACTTCAGGGCTATGAAATCATGGAAGCTGCAGTTTTACATGGTCTTTAACTTTCTCTTCCAAAAATTTCTAGTGCCTCACCAAATTACAACTCCCAAGATTAAATACCATTGGGGTCAAACTGCATTAATTTTTCAGAGCAGATGCACCCCATGCCTCAATATGGTCAGTCTGCATTATTTAAGGAGCCCATATAACTTGCTCTGAAGTCCATTGTGAAAGGGGGGAAACTATAACTGTCATCTAAAGATAAATAATTAAGTCAGTATATTACAGATCCAGCATATTGCAATGGACCAGTGTCAGTGTGGATGACATATAGTAATTTACACTAAATAGAAATGTTTAGGCTGATCTATATTCCTCTCCCATCTCCCTTTTATCACTTAGCTCTTGATGCGATTCAAAGACAAGTTGCAGCTTTAGAACAGATTACTCGGACTCTTCAGGAAGACCTTAGAAAATCCAGAAAGCGTAAGATGGAACATGACTTTTTGTGCTTTGTTTTTAGTTTCATTTTGAAAGCATGCACATGTGTGAGAGTAATAGGTTGATATTGAAGTTATCATGGTGGAAATGCCTCTTGTATTATGTTCTTAGTATTATCCCAAATCTCTGTTGCTGTTTTTCTTGTGAATTCAATTGCATAGATCTTCTGCAAACAACTAGGAAACCTGCAGAAACTCAGAGGAAATAGTACACACACACCACACACATATACGTGATGAAAAAATGCCCACAGGTTCAGTTACATGCCCATTCAGCTTCCTATATGCACCTTAAAGAGAATTTTGTGGCTAAACCTTTTTTTTAAAAATGTTGTTTTTTAATTTTTGGATGGCCTAGGGGAAGATCCAAACCTGCTGAAAATGGCCACTGAGCCACCTATCTATCATTTGGGATTGTTCACTACATACGTGTACCTACCTTGCTATTGTGAATGCATGCGAACATTCTTCAAGTTCAAATTTCTTACAATGCCAGTTCTTTCTGTGAGAAACCGATGTCAAGGAACCTGCACATTACCCAGCAGGCCCGTAGCCAGGATTTCGATTCGGGAGGAGGGGCTGAGTTTGGTTCAGGGGGAGCTGAGTCTGAGTGAACCTTTTGTATCATTACCCCAATACCCCCATGCATATGTGATATATTTTGTATCATTACCCCAATACCCCCATGCATATGGGATATATTGAGTATGGTGATCAGATCATGATATGAATAAACATAACAGTTTAAATAATGCACCAGTAAGGCCTTTTCACGAACCACCATGAGAATTTCGGGGGGGGGGGGCTGAAGCCCCTCAAGCCCCCCCCCCTCCCCGTCTACATGTCTGTTACCCAGTAAAGTACAGAAAAAGGACTGACATATTTGATGCAGGAATGGGAGTTTAAACACTATGCTCTCATGGACATCCACTAAAATTTGCATTAGCTTTATGTCATTCCATTATGTACATTGTAATGTTCTTACTGAGTCAGTATGCATGCTGCTCTTCTGAGCAATACTAGGGTGGAGAGTAGGATACGACTAGTAGGAGCTGCAACTGGAAATGCAAAAGAGAACAAAATGTATACAACATAATCCATCCAAGATGAATTTTTTAAACACATTGGCAATAGGCTTGACCGTGGATGCATTTTTAGTTGTTTCCTTCAGCTTCTTCAGCTTCTTTGGGAGACCATAACGGCAAGGACCCAGCCGACATAGTCTCCCATCTGTAATGGGATCACATAGCATCCAATCATGGCTCCTCCTCCCCTTTTCACTTGTCCACAGAATTTTTTGGGAGTTTTCAAGGTTTTTAAAAACATTTAAAAAAAACCTACAAGAACGATCTCCACTTTTCCCTCCCTCTCTGATTGGCTGAGAGGCATGTCAACAGGTTTGGCTTTGCCTCTCAGCAGGGCTTGGTTGCACTGTCAATTTTAGATTGATTCTAATGCTACATGATTCTAATGATTCTAATGTAACCCAATGCATTCTGGGAAAAGTAGTTTTGTGCTGGCATATAGCTGAAATTTCTATAAATGGGGAAATTTCAGAGGCTCCTATCTCCCTCAGTTTAAAGCTATTGGGGTGAAACTTGCTACAATGGTAGAACACACTTTCCACTCTTAGCCTATTAAATTTCATAACGTTTCGTTCATCCACATTAAACCCCTGTGCCGGCAGGACTGAAGACCGACAGGTCACAGGTTCGAATCCGGGGAGAGGCGGATGAGCTCCCTCTATCAACTCCAGCCCCTCATGCGGAAACATGAGAGAAGCCTCCCACAAGGATGATAAAAACATCAATTCATCTGGGCATTCCCTGGCCAAGATCCTTGCAGACGGCCAATTCTCTCACACCAGAAGCGACTTGTAGTTTCTCAAGTCGCTCCCGACATGACAAAAAGAAATTCATCCACAGAAACAACATTTTTAGCTATCTCCACCTCTGCCTCCCCCTCTCTCCTCCATCAGGTCTAATTGGCTGGAGAAGCATGCCAACAGGTTTGCCTTCGCCTCTCATTGGTTGCCCTGTGAATTTTAGCTCCATCACAGCTACATCTGAACACATCCGTGGCTTAAGAATTGAAGGCTCCTTTTGATTCAAATTCTTAATATTGGGGTGGGGGGGGGGCATGTCACAACTTGTTTCAAAAGTTTTAAACATCCAAACTAGATCCAAATCAAGGGTATTTCTGCATCAAATGCACAATTCTACTCTTATATATCTATGCTCTCTCTGCTTGCTGCTGCTCCTCAAGTTGCAGGATGGGGCCAGTGGGAGGATACCTTTTGGGGAACTTTTTAAAGGAGATTTTATTTCTAAAAAGGAAAAAAAATCTAAAAAATCAGGGGATGACCCAAATGTTATGAAACTTGGTGAGCTAACAGTGGTAGATGTGTCCTCCAAATGTGGTGATTTTCATTCCATTAGCCCTATAAACGATGGGAAGGGGAGCCTAGGAATCCTGCCCATTGTCACTGTAGTCCAAAAACAGCTATCTGGCTGTGTGCCTGTTTTGGGGAGGTGCATGAAAATGGATACGGGTGTCTACCAGCATAAATGGATTGAGGTTCAGCCAAAATGCACAAGCCTAATTGGCAACTTTTTGTCTTTTGAACATATAGTTGTAAAAAGTGTTTAACAGAATCGTATTACTGAATATTGTGGACTGATGACTGTGTTTTCTGAAAATTGTTTTCATACTTTTTCAACATTGTAGGTCTTTTGTGGCAGGGGGCAGTGAGCGTTGGTGAGAAAATCTTTGTTTCAACCGGCCAGCAAGAATCTTTCTTCAAGGGGAGGGATCTGTGTGCCAGTGCAGGTGGAAAACTTGCCAGCCCAAAGAATGAGGCTGAAAACAGAGCCTTGACAGAAATGGTGAAGAAGAATTACAAGTATGCTTTCCTTGGAATAAATGATATCCAAACGGAGGGCACATTTGTAGATCTGAATGGAGCACCTCTACGTTATACCAACTGGAAGTCAGGGGAGCCCAATGATTACAATGATAATGAAGATTGTGTTATAGTGCTAGACAATCAGTTATGGAATGATTTTAATTGTGAACATAAATCACCAATATTTTGTGAAGTTTAATCTATTTATAAAGAATTCTAACTCTGGAGGCACACAAAATAGTTGTTGGGAGCATGTAGTAAATGAAATTAACTTTTTACTCTGAGATCAAGACTACAGATGGGTTTTTGCCTGAGCTTTGCTTTTTGTTGGAAATTACCAAATGTCACAAAATTGCACTACTGAAGAATGTGCAAATGATAGATTTTCCATCTCAATTAAAGATTGGTGAGAATCCATTTCAGTTCATTGAAAAGTCAAATACATGTAAATGTGCAAAATTTGAATACACAAATAAATGAAACTCACAGATTTAACCATTCCTACTTGGGAGAAGATGATTTTTTACAGAGTGTTAAAATCATATGGAAGGAGGAATATGTTTGTTTTTCAACAGCTTTTGTTTTTTGTTGGTTAATTTTTTGGAATATTGAAACATTACAGAAAACCGCAAAATACCTGTATTAAACTGAGATAGGGATAAATATATACCGTATATTCCGGCATATAAGACGACTGGGCGTATAAGACGACCCCCAATTTTTTCAGTTAAAATATAGAGTTTGGGATATACTCGCCGTATAAGACCACCCCTCTTCCAATGCACACTAAATTAAAAAAATTAAAAATCAGATTTGAATTCAAGATGGTAATTTTAATTCAAATGCTTATGACATGCAGGTTCCCATGAGAGGGACATTGTACCTTACATTGTACATTACAGTTGCTCTTTCTCCCTTGAATTTCATTTATACTCTGGGTCCTTTACATCATGCTGGCAATAAGTTAAAATAAACTGTTGCATGAAATAATTCTCATTTAAAGCAATTATAAAAACCAGCCAAGGTAAAGTGTCATATCAGTTCCCTTTTGCCTTTTCTCAGGCTTCTCCTATTGACACAGCCTAAAACAGCATTGGCCTTTTTAGCTGCAGCATCATACTACTGGCTCATGTTCGACAAAGATTCCTTTCACAGAATCCTAAAGTTGGGAGGGACCTCTAAAGGCCATTTAGTCCAACCCCCTTCATTCTGCCTTCTTGCGGGGAAAGCACAATCAAAGCACTCTCGACAAATGGCTATCTAGTCTTATTAATATTAATAATGGCGTTGGAAGGGAGCTCTAAAGGCCATCTAGTCCAACCCCCTTCATTCTGCCTTCATACAGGGAAAGCACACTCAAAGCAGCCCTGACAGATGGCCACCCAGCCTCAATAACAACAACAATAACATTAATACTAATAAAAGTTGGAAGATATCCTTTAGGCCAGTGGTTCTCAACCTTTCTAATGCCGTGACCCTTAAATAAAGTTCCTCATGTTGTTGTGACCCCCAACCACATTTTCGTTGCTACTTCATAACAGTAATTTTGCTACTGTTATGAAATGTAATGTAAATGTCTGATATGAAGGATGTATTTTCATTGTTACAAATTGAACATAATTAAAGCATAGTGATTAATCACAAAAACAATATGTTTGGGGGAGTGTGGGCAACGGATGATGGGATGTGAAGTACCTTCAACCGATGCAGCTCTGACTTCCAGAGACCACTGAGACACCCCTCCCCCCCCCCCGAAATACAGACCAGGACCAAACTTGGCACACAGAACCCTAATGACCAATAGAAAATACTGGAGGGGGTTGGGAGGAATTGATAGTGAATTATGGGAGAGGTAGTTCACCTACATCCAGAGAGCACTGTGAACCCAAATTACTATGGATCTGGACAGAACTTGGCACAAATACTCAGTATGCCCAAATCTGAAGACTGGTGGAGTTTGGGGGAAATAGACCTTGGCGTTTGGGAGTTGTTGGGATGTATAGTTCCCCAGCCATCAAAGAGCATTCTGAACTCCAACAATTAAATTGGACCAAACTTGGCCTGCAGGACTCTCACGACCAACAGAAAACACTGGAGAGATTTTGGGAAAATAGACCTTGGCATTTGGGACTTGGGGTGTTTAGTTCCCCAGCCATCAAAGAGCATTCTGAAATCCAACCACAATTAAATTGGACCAAACTTGAGTTGTGTGGAAGGGGACTGGGTTATCTGAGGCCCCTTCCATACAGCTGCATAAAATACACATTGAAGTGGATTATCTGGCTGTGTGGACTCAGAAATCCAGTTCAAAGCAGATAATGTGGATTTCATTCAGCTGTGTGGAAGGGGCCTGGGTTCTCTGGGTCCCCTTCCATACAGCTGCATAAAATACACATTGAAGTGGATTATCTGGCAGTGTGGCCTCAGATAATCCAGTTCAAAGCAGACAATGTGGGATTTCATTCTGCTGTGTGGAAAGGGACTGGGTTATCTGGGGCTCCATCCATACAGCTGCATAAAATACACATTGAAGTGGATTATCTGGCAGTGTGGCCTCAGATAATCCAGTTCAAAGCAGATAATGTGGGATTTCATTCAGCTGTGTGGAAGGGGCCTGGGTTCTCTGGGTCCCCTTCCATACAGCTGCATAAAATACACACTGAAGTGGATTATCTGGCTGTGTGGACACAGATAATCCAGTTCAAAGCAGACAATGTGGGATTTCATTCAGCTGTGTGGAAGGGGACTGGGTTATCTGGGTCCCTGTTCCTTCGCTCTTTCGCTTGCCTTGCAACCTCTTCTCTTCCCTTCAGTCTCCTCTCACGCTGTTGCTTTCCCCATTCACCTCGCGCGGAGGCCATTGGCGAGAGCGCGAGGCAGGCGACAAGGGGCTTCTGGGACGGCAGGCGTCGCGCGGAGGCCTCCTGGCCTGCCTCGCTCTCTCGCCGATGGCGACGGTGCAAAGCAGGCCAGGAGGCCTCCGCGCGACGCCTGGCATCGCGGAAGCTCTCCTCGCCTGCCTCGTTCTCTCGCTGATGGCCATTGGCGAGAGAGCGGGGCGGGCGAGGAGGGCTTACACAACGCCAGGCCTCGCGCGGAGGCCTCCTCGCCTACCTTGCACCCTCGCTATCGGCGAGAGAGCGGGGCAGGCGAAGGGCCAGACGCTCCATTGGCCTCAATTGGGTCCAGGAAGGAGAGAGGAAGCGTGAGGAAGGCGGCCCTCCGGCCTCCTTCCTCATGCTGCCTCTTTCCTCACTGGGCCCAGCTGGGGCCCAACGGAGCGTCTGACCCACGCCGCGCTGCTGCAGGAGCCTGTAGACATGCTGGAAGCCTCTCCAGAAGCAGCAGGGGTGAGCGCGCTCACCAGCGCAGGTCTCCCTCCTCCGTCCTCGCCCCGCAGATGCCTTCCTCGGCAGGCGCACACGGGATGAGAGAGGAGGGAAAGGTGTGCACCAGCTGCAGAAGACAGCGCAGGCCTCCGCAGGGTGCATCTTTCCCTCCTCTCCCATCCCGTGTGCACCTCCACCGCCGAGGAAGGCATCTGCGGGGCGAGGACAGAGGAGGGAAAGGTGCCAGACGCTCCGTTGGGCCCCAGCTGGGCCCAGTGAGGAAAGAGGCAGCGTGAGGAAGGAGGTCGGAGGGCAGGCCGCTGCGGGCGGATGTTCTCCTCCGCTGCCTCGACTCCACTGCCATTCGTCATCTAATATGTCCGGAAGACAAGACGACCCCCAAGTTTTCAAAGGATTTTAAAGGTTTAAAAAGTCGTCTATTACCCCGGTTTTTACGGTACATCAGATTTTTCTATCAGTCCACTTTCAACTTAGAGTAGAGTACATGATTACTGTCATACTCTAGGTTCAATTAGTAAAATTCCAGATATATTATCTAGATGTGGATTGTCAAATGCAAAATGAACCAAAGATCTGTTTGACTGAATGTAAATATTATTCAAATATGTTTTAATTGTGGAAAACAATTTAGTTTCCTCAATATGCCTAATCATTGTTTATCACTTCTGTAAAAAAAGGGGGGAGGGGTGATCTCCAGGCAGATGTAATTTTTCAAAAATGAAAGCTGGAATTTTATGAATTTGAACATGATCTTATTCTGATATAACTGCAACCCTGTTGCATATGAATGGCCTGCCCCATCCCATTACAACTATTTGATAATTTTCACATTGTAGTACCATATAAATATGTGTTTGCTACAGTACCTATAGTGTTCCATATATATATAGAAATTCTGTTCTGGGTGCAGCTATTAGATTTGTAAGGAAACACTGCACAAGGAAGGGATCTGTTTAGTGCTTGCACATTATGCATTCCATCTGAGATTTCTATTGCACTTAGGGGTGTGCAATTTGGGAAAACCCTGTGCCATTTTTGGTGCCCAGTTTTTGGCTCCTTCCCCACCCCCCGCTCCCCATTCTTCTACAGGGTACTCCCCAAATTCAGAAGGGGTTTCTGTTTGCATGAAAGCAAGATTCAGTCCATTGGCACCAATGGGAAAACTTTAGAAGCTCATTTCTTTGTCGTTTTAGGCCTATAAACATGAAACCTGCCTCACTTATAGGCAACATTTACAACTGCAACTCTATCAAAATATTTCACCAGTCCACTGATTTTTGTGAAATTTTAAAAGTTTTTAACCATAACATTTAAAAAAACACAAGAAGGGGTTCTGGGAAATGAAGCCCCAAACACATGCCACAAAAGGGGAGGAGAATGGACACAGTTAACCAGACCTCTGATTGGCTGAAAAAAAGTGAGAAACACACAGAGAAATCTCAAATTCCATCATGTCTTAGGAGGGAACACAGGCTCCTTCAATGCCCACACCACATGAAGTGCTGCAAGGAAAGTGATCATTTGTCTCAAGCGGTGCTAGGGCAGGAGAGCCTTCAGGAAGGAATGGAGAAGACTGCTGAGAAAGAAAGGGAGGAAGGGAGGAAGGGAGGGAGGGAGGGAGGGAGGGAGGAGCCACAGCTTCCCTGATTTGTAAGGCTGCTACACACCACCTCAGGTAGAGTGCCACTCAGCCACATTAGCCAAAAAGATCCAGCTGCTGTGTTATGTATCAGCCAAGGCTGCTCCCTGCCAGTGTCATTTTCATGCATTCAACAGCTGAATCCCCCAAATCCCTAGAATTTGGGACACCAAAATATCATGCAAACCCCTACTATCATTCCAATTTCTGATAGCCTTTACTAAGGGGGTTGAGGTGAAATCAGATCCGTCGCATGGCAGGAGGGATTTTATTTTATTATCTTCAGCCACTTCAGGGTTTGTTATTTCCTTTCTTTAACTGACAAGTTACTTTCTATTACTAATAGGTCCACTTGACCCTTTAAACTAAGCAGGCCGAAGGCTAAACTCTTGGCTCGGCTTACACTACCCAGAGCCACTTTTTCCTTTTGACTACCTCTCAAATACTTAAATCTCTTGGTTCGGTTTCTCAACACACCAGAACCAACTTTCCTCTTTGGCTAGCTCACCAA